CAGAAATTAGAGCTGAGTTAGACATTTTCTTTTCAGCCAACCTCTCAGAAATCCAGAAATGTCAACAGGATTACTTAGAGGTAATTACGCTGAATTTTTAATCAAGTCAGAAATTTAGTTCTGGAGAAGAAAAGCTAATGTCCTTGAACTCTTTTTTTTTTTTTTTTTTCGTTTTCTTCCATATTAAGTAAAATTCTGGCAAGTGCTGTTGATGATAACTCTGTTTTTAGAATTACAAGCATCATTGTACTTCCAGGGCAACCAGATTATGCTCTAATCCTTCATGTGTGTGGTAGGGACAGAAGGATCGTGAGTTAGGGTTAGGGTGAGCAACTTCAGAAGAACCCTTGGAAGGGCTTCACCGGTGAAGAGCACTTACTGCTCTGGAGGGGCCCAGGGTTAGTCCTCAGTACCCGTACTGGGTATCTCACACCCACCTGGAGCTCCAGCTCCAGGAGACAACACCTGTGGCTACTGCAGGCCCCTTCGGTCACATGCCCACGCCCACACGCATGCATATAAATAAATCTTTTTTCTCTTTTTCTTAAACTTGTGTCTTAAGTGCAATTGGAGAACAATAAAAGAACCTGTTCCTCCACTGTGGCTGTGTTCTACATGTTCTTCTCCACAGAGAGCCAAGAGTTAGGATGCTGAGATCTGTCCACACATCTCCAAAGATGTGCTTTCCACTTCTGGACCTCTTAACCTGCACTGTTGTCTGTTTCAAGATTTCAGGACTACCCAGTGGTGGCTCACACCTTTATTCTCAGTACTTGGGAGGCAGAAACAGACAGATCTCTGTGTATTCCAGGCCAGCCTGGTCTATAGAGCAAGTTTCAGGACAACCAGAGCTACACAAAGAAACCCTGTCTGGGGGGAGGGGGACGACAAAAAAACTGCCAGTATGTTAATATTGTCTGAGAGCTTAAGTAGCACAGGGGAATGGTCGTAATGACATGCTTCATTTCTGCAGTGAATAGTAAAGAGTTTCTTGCAAAAGAAGAAAGTCAGATCCCCGTGGATGAAGTGTTTTTCTACAGGTAAGATACCTAGTACAGCATCCTTGGAGACTGTTTAAATGTTTATATTTGATACTACACTGCTTTATTGGCATTGCACTATTTTGAAAAGATCGGGTTATACGTCCATTTCTTTTTTGAAGGAATTTAAATTACTGATTCTGCTGCTCAGAAAACTTAGTGAAATTGGTCAGCTTGAGTATTTTAATAATGGAGTATATAAATTTTTGGTTTCTGAATGTGACTTTTTGGAACTTCAGGTTTTTGTTTGGAAACTGTATTGCCTAAGATGGCCTCCAACTTGTGATCCTCCTGCCTCCACCTTCCACACCCTGGGATTGTAAGCATATGCTACCATGCTTGGGTTTTTTCCCTTCTGAGGTAACTCTTACTAGGTTTTATCTGAGTTAGTTTAATATAGTGGTAACTCAGGAGTATTTTGTCTGGACAATGACCCTTTGAGTAGAACTGATAACATACATTGTGAAGCTGAAGGGGTTGATCTGACACTCTTAGTGCCTTGTAATCCGCTGTCAAGTTATGTGGTTGACTAGTTAATTAGCTTTAATATAAATTTCTTTGAAAAACAAAACTTTTACTGTGAACAACTTTGTGTGTGTGATGCCAACTGGAAAGTTCTACTGTGACTTTGGGCGAGTGATATGTCATTATGATTTGAGGTCATTTAGAACTACCATATTCCAATATTAGATAAATTGTGTTGAACTTGAACCAACCTTTTACTATGAAAATTATTTAACTGTTGTGTGGATCAAATTCAGGGCCTTGTTCATGCTAGACAAAACTATATACACACTTTGAGGCCTCTGCAATACCATGTTAATATGAGTGTAACGAAATAGCTTAGCTGGGCATGGTGGCACATGGCTTTAATTCCACCTCTCAGGGAGGCAGAGGCAGGTGGATCTCTGTGAATTCAAGGTCATCCTAGTCTACAGAGCAAGTCAAGGACAGCCAAGGCTGCAAAGAGAAACTCTATCCAGAAAAAGAAGAAGAAATAGCTTATGAGACATTAAAATCTTAAAAGTTTCTTCTACTTTACTTAGAAGTGCTTGGTGGCTTATACCTGTAGTCCCAGCACTCAGGAGGCAAAAGCAAAGGGATTGTATGTACAAAGAGATTATATGTACAGCTTGGCTACATGGTGAGACCCTTTAAAAAGTAATGAAAATTATGCTTCACATTTCAAAAGTTTATACCTGCTTTAGTTCAAAACACTTTTTACATTGAATACAAATTATACTCATTTGTGTCCATTTGAGTATCCATGATACACTTTGAACTGTAGTTTTTAGTCATAAATTATGCAGATATATAATATGCATTTTACTTCAGGTATTATAAGAAAGTTGCTGCTGTTAAAAACAAACAGAAACGCGATGCAGATGAAGAAAGTATAGAAGATGTTGATGACGAGGAATTTGAAAATATGATTGGTAATTTATTTTTGTTGGCTCAGTTTGTAAAATTATTACTATTTGTTAATAGAATGTAGAACATTAGTGGTAAAAGGGAACTTGGTTTTTAGAAATCACTGATATGCAGATTAGAGTAGAAGATTGAGAAATAGCATATAGTAACTTGCTCATTTTTATGCTAGAGAACTACATTATTGAGCTTTCTTTTCTAACATTTTGAGCATTATTTTCTTACATATTGTACTCATTTTGTAAGAAAATTGTTTGCAAGAACAGTATTTTCATTCCTAAGATCAAGTCTCTGATGAGACAGAAACTCTGTATTGTTCATAATCTACTAATTCTACTGGCAGCAATGAACTGCTGGTTTATCAGTTTTTCTTTATAATCCATAGAGCTTGGGGATTTTTAATTCAAGTATAATCAAATGAAACAGTACATGAAAATAGAAAGGCTTACTTTGATGTCACTGTTACATCCTACAGTTAGTAAAAAATAAACACTAAAAATATTTTTCAACAAAAGGAGTATAAATAGAAATTAAAATTAGTAGACCCCATCTTAGAGATTTCATTGGCTCATAGGTTTTTTTAAAACATGCCAGAAGCAGTCCTAATTACAACATTCTGCTGTTGTAAAATCCTGAGTCAGTGTCACTGTTAACTGTGTATCGCTCTTGTTCTTTGCTGGGTCTTTCAATTTTGAAATTGTTCTTGGGCAGACACATTTGAAGATGATAACTGCTTCACGCCTGGAAAGGATGATATTGATTTTGCCAGGTAAAACTCAACTTTCTCTTTACTCTTTCCCAGTTTTTCCTAAATTATTGCTCATGAGAACAGAAGGGCATAAAAATTAGGTGATCCATAAGGAACACATTCCCCTGGGCTTGGTATTATTATTTTGAACCTTTAGGATGCTGTGAGCACTCCGGAATTCTTTTACTTAGTTAACAGCATATCTTAGACACCTGAGCACACATTAGAAAACACTGCCTTTCTTTACAAGTTTGGAGTTTTTGCTTTGTTTTCCCAGCAATATGAAGAAAACAAAGGGAGCTAAGGAGGACTTGGAAGATTTGGAGAGTAGTGACGATGAGGTTGGTGACCTGGATGATGACGAAGTTTCTCTAGGAAGTATGAATGATGAAGACTTTGAAATTGATGAAGAGGGAGGAACGTTCATGAATGTGTCAGATGATGAAACTGAAGAAATTCCAGGTACACATTGAAAAAATAATTCACAAATTACATGGCTTTCTTGCTTATTCTTAGGCTAGGTTTCTGGAAGACACATACAGTGTTGGACTTAGTCAACAGCTCCTCTATAGTTTCGGGCGGGCTGCCATGTTGCCTCTTTTTAACGTTAGTGTCACGGGCCGTGGTATAACTCAGTAGTGAAGTGCTTCCTAGAATGTGTGAGGTCCTGGGTTGCAGCCTCAACTACCAAAGAACAAAAGCAATAATGATGAGCAGTTTAGCCAAGAAAAAGTCAGCACACAGATAGTCCGACCACACAGGTGCAGACAAGGAATGATGTCCATGTAAGTGAGCAGGGGGCCGCCACACATGTGTGCTTGTACTCTTGTCCTTGCATGCACCTCCACTGACACCTGGCTTTGCATCCTGCTTCTTCTGGACCTCAGCAGTAGTTGTTTCTTATTTATGCAAGTGTTGGAATATTTGGTCTCATAATCATCAAGTAAATTACGTATCACGAAGTATGGCAGCCACTCTGAGAATGTCCTGAGTTCTCTAGGCCGTTCTGTTGGGATTAGAGGATTGTGAACCTACCTGGAACAGACATAGCAGGCCTTGAAGTTGCACTGAACACTGTAGCATACAATGAATTGGTGTATTCCAGGCTTGTTGTTTTTAAAATGGCTTAATAGCAAACTTTCTTGGGTAACAGAATTTACAGAAACCAGCCCCAAAGCCAATACAAAGAAAAGCAAGAGAAAGAGTGGAAATGATTTTGACTTTGCTGGGTCATTTCAAGGTAAGAAAATACACTTATTCTCTTCAAACCATAACAGCTGCCATATGAAGAGTAGTGTTGTTACTGTTGGGAAATATATTTTTAAAAACTGGTTGATGCCAGCCAGTTAGTTAGAAAATTTTTCTTAAAGGATCAGTCCTCAGGTACTGCCCACCTTTTATTTGAGACAAGGGTCTCTCTTAGGCTTGGGACTTCACCACATAGGCGGGGCTAACTGCTCCATGAGACTCTAGCATCCACCTGCCTCTGCCTCCTCTCGCCATCACTAACATTACAGCACTACACTCAGGTTTTACATGAGTTCTGGAGATCTGAACCCTGATCGTCACACTTGCGGGGCGAGTGTGCCTTTCACACCATCTCCCAGCCAAGAACGGTGCTTTAGGAATTGATGATGACAGGCTGTTGTTCCCAAGTTCCTTCTCTCTCATTTAAGTATCTCCCAATGATCTTTCCAGTCATGTTTCAAGAGTCCAATTACATGTGAGCCATAACTATCTTACTACTTTAATGTTCATAAAAGCTATAGATTCAAAACCATAGGTGAGTTTTTCATAGACATTTTATTTTCAGTAGCATAAACAAAAGTTTATTGATAGTGCAATAAATACATTTAGTCAGGTTTTTCAAGCCCAAAGAATAAGACCTGAATTACAATTTTTATTTTGCTTCACATAGTATAAATGCTATCCATGTCAGCTGTGGAATTTTAATCCTCAGTGATACTGTTTCTTGTAAGAATAAACTGATCAGTGACCAAATCTGAAAAATAAGCACATACTTTGAATAACCTATACATGATTTTTTTAAGGATCAAAGAAAAAAAAGAAAAGTTTCAGTGACTCCAGCCTGTTTGTGTCTGCTGAGGAGGTAAGGCTAATGTACTAACCTAAGAAAGTAGCTGTTTACATTCTTTAAAAGTTTTCTAGTAACCTTCACACTCTTCCTTTTTTTTTCAAGTTTGGCCATCTGTTGGATGAAAATATGGGATCCAAGTTTGATAATATTGGCATGAATGCCATGGCTAACAAAGATAATGCAAGTAAGTAAACTGACTTTCTTCTTCTTTTCTATAGTAGGGTCTTATGTAGCCCAGGCTGCCTTAAACTTGCTATATAGCCAGGCGGTCTTAGGCTCTTGATCCTCCACCTCCCAAGCAGTAGGATTACAGGTGTGCACTATCAGGTGACCTTGAACTTGTCAGTCAAGTTTTTTAAATGGCATTCAAACCACACACAAGCTACAGAGTCAGTTTTTCTTGGAGAGTTGGTGTATTTTATTTGACTCTTAAGTGCTTGAAGATCTTTTAATTATTCCTTGATAGAAAAGAAAACTATTTTCAATATTTTCTGTATTCTTTCATTTATAAAACCCTCATCTTAGATAACAGGAGAGAGTAACAAACAGTGGATTTGCACAGTAGGTGGGAAATCACAGGCCATGTGGCTTGAAGTTAAAGTTACACTCAGGAAGGAGGTTCTGTGGGAGTAGACATAGACTCATCTTTTTTCTCCCCTCAAAGGTTTCAAACAGCTGAAGTGGGAAGCTGAGCGTGATGACTGGCTGCACAACAGAGACGTGAAAAGTATCATCAAGAAAAAGAAAAATTTCAAAAAGAAGATGAAAGCCCCTCAGAAATCCAAAAAGCAACGGAAATGAGAGCTTCAGACTAAATAATAAAATTAAGATTGTACTTACCCTTAATTTTTGCTATCCAACCATTTTTCTTGATCTTTTTCTCTAATTCCATATATTCCAGACTGTTCAACAGATTTGTAATAAACTGTAGAAACAAAATGCTGTCATTTATAAAATCATAACAGTTATACTTAAATCAAAGAAATTCCTCCATATTGCTACATAACCAAACGAAAAGTACAGTGGGGCTCCGTGATCATGCGCATGGTCTAACCGCTCTCTTGACCACAGTGATGAGCGCTTGTTCAGGGTACCTGGCGTTATGCTCATTAAGGACCTGATGTCATCCTGGTCAACCCCTAACTGTCATGGGGTGGGCATTAGCTCTTCCATAGAGAAAGCGGCATCTCTGAGAGCATAGTACACCTGAGGAAAACAGTCTTACAGCAATAACCTTAGGCCATGGTCTGTGCCTACCACCTTAGGTCTCCCTCTGGAATCTATGTTCTTAACCACTGTAAATTACTGCTCCAGCCTGCAGGGTGGGGCATGTAACTCTGTGACAGAACTTTTGCCCCGTGAAGCCTGGCATTTGATCAATAAAAAAAGTAATAATTAAACCAAGAGCTAACTGTTCTCATCTAAGCAACTGGGTGAGTGCTTATTGTGTGGTCTCAGGTGGCAACTAGTGTTGGAACCAGCAACAAAATGTCATTTGGTCTAAAGCTGTGAAAGTACCATGGGATTTATAAGCTATTTTGCATAGAAATTTTACTTGAGGAAAAACATACCTTCCAAAACAAAGGGAAATGTCTTGCTCATTGTTTGTCTGAAATCTGACATTAAAAAAAAAAAAAACTCACTGTTAACATTAAGCCCACAATTTAGTATATTAGTGTCTATTAGCATTTTGTATTTAAGGTCCAGCTAATAATCCAAGAACTGAATCTTGTAGGATACTACATAGATTACATTCATCTCAAAAACCAGCCTTTATACTTTTTTCTCTTTTTTTGGTTTTCAAGACAAGGTTTCTCTGTACCCCTGGCTGTCCTGGAACTCACTTTGTAAACTAGGCTGGCTTCAAACTCAAATCCACCTGCCTCTGCCTCCCAAGTGCTGGAAAAAGCATGGGTCACTACCGCCCAGCAGCCTGTGTGCTCTTCTACTTACTGTAAAGATTGTGAGCATCCCATGGCACCCTGGTATAGTGAAGTACTTTGAGGAAGATGTGAAGTGACACGCTTTAAAGATATGTCACTGACCCAGGGTTGTGCCTGCTAGTTGGAGAAGGAAGTAATAGGAATTCCTAATTTAAAAGCTGAGGTCTCTCGTATAAAATTTAACAAACTGTTACACAGTCTTCAGCAATAGCATGGGAAATGGTTTCAGTGCCTACTGCTGATGCTAAGGCTGCTGTGAACTGAGGTTGTTCTGAGCATCAGTGATGTAACTCTTTCTGAGAATACTGAACAAGTAAGTGTGCTAGGCAGGCCCAGCTACCCCATCTATTCTTTTCAGTTCTGCTGAGGGCCATTCAATTGTGAGCCAGAATAGGGACATTTGTTGTACCCTTCCCTAGTAAAACCCAGACACTGCTGGTCTGCAAGTCAAAAATGAGTCAATGACAGGCACCTCGCTCCCCTCCTTCCCATAAAAATATCTAACAGATTCAATCTGAAGAAATGCTTTGCCCAGAAATGCCACTAGCATTTAGTGCACACCCTGCTAGAAAACAGCAACTGAACTGTGTGTACCTTGGCTCGAGTTCATCTTTTTAAACAAAACATAAGCTCCAAAAACACCCACAACTTCCGCTGCTAAAACTCCTTTAAAGATCTTCCTTGCCAGGGGTTCCATGTTCCGAGCCATCCTGAATTTAAGATGAATGAGGCATGTTTAAATTTCTGTTGCCATATCTAAAAAAAACAAAACAAAAAAACAACTCCATTGCTTTTTATACGGACCCCAAAAGTAATATGTATTTGGTTTGGACATTCCTCATATTCTGATATTTTCCCACTGCTCTGTCCTCAGTGATGAGACAGGCTGTTGGATAATGTTCATTGTCAGCCAGTTCCTCCATCTGCTTTTGCCTCCCTTTCAAGATGCCTAAGCATTAAGGTAATTGAACACTGTTAGGATTAGGCTTGGCCTTTGTTACCAAAAGACTTAAAAACTTTAAAATGAAGCAAACAAAACACATATAACTGGGGGTGAGGCAGGAGGGTCAGCTGTACTTCCTCTACTCCCAGTACTCTCTATCACTGACAGGCCTACTCAGTACCAAGTTCTCCAGGCTGTTTTCATGCTCCGGGGCTGCGCTGAGGCACATCTACCTGCAGCCTATTTATTCCTTAGCTTAAGGAATCTGAGCAAAACCTTAGAAGAAAGTGATGCTAAGGTTTCAAACAGTCCAAATAACACTATATAATAAAACATTTACTCTCTTAAAAACACATGGACATGTTGCGCTCCAAGGCCCTCCTGATCTTTGGGACCGTTCTACTTAATAAAAAAAAAAAAAAAAAAAAAAAAAAAGTCCGAGGGTCACCAGAAGCACACCTATCCAGACCAGATGGCCCAGGAAGACCAAGACCGACCACGGGGCCTTCTTGCAGAGGAGAGGCTAGGGCTGCAGCGCAGGTGAAGCAGCCTCCAGGGTGGACCTGGGGGAAGGGAAGCCGGCGCGGCTGGTGACACTAGGACCCAAGGCTGCTGCCGGCGACGGTTCCAACCAGCGAAGTCTAAGTCCCAGAAGGCGCCGCGGCGCTCGGAGACCCGGAAACGCTCGCGCCTGCCCCGCACGCCTGCGCCATCGGGACAGTCTCGTTCAAGAGTTCCCCTGACCCAAGGATATTACAAGACCCCACCCGCCCCAAAGTGGGGAGCCGACAGCGGGTAGGGCACACAGAACGGTCCTTACCTGAGGCCACTGCAAGCCGACTGCGCACGCGCACGGTCGCAGCGCCACGCCCCCAGCTTTAGCCACGCCCCACGGCGGAACCTGACCCGGCTACACTGCTCTTCTAGACTCTGGCAGAGTAGCTGTGGGAAGCTAGCTCCTCATTTTACTGGCAAGATTATCCTGCCCGCGGCCACACCCAAGCGAAAGAAGGAATTCATACTTGAACCCAGAATACGGTCTCCAAATCCTGCACATGGATCGTCTTTCCCCACTCTTAAACCCAAAGTGTATCAGAGGAACGGCAACAACCCATCACCTGGAACTGGCCAAAACACGTGGGACCCCAATCAAGATATACGTCCTTGTAGCCAGATCCCTAGACAATTCCTTTGCACGTTAAGGCTGAGACTAGCTACCCCGAGGTACTGACCCAACGGAAGGACAGAGTAGAGAAAAGGGAATGGGACCGCCTATGAGGGACCACGAGCATGGCAGAGCCTGAAATGCCAAAATACATCTGCTTTCATTAAAATGTGGTCTGGCCTCAGAGATCTGCCTGCCTCTGCCACCAGGACAGCCAGGGCAATCCTGTTTCAAAAAACAAGATAGATTAGATACATTAGCTAGCTAGAGATAGATAGATAGATAGATAGATAGATAGATAGATAGATAGATAGATAGATAGATAAAATGTGGTCTGATGCCAGGCTGTCCAACCTAGGAAGCTATGAATGCTGACCAACAAAATCTTGCGTGTAAAACATGACGGAAATTTTTGCACAATGAGAAATTTTGCGATTTTTAAAAAAAAATTTAATTGCTGTTCTTCGAGCTTGGGCTTCGGTTCCAGCAACATGGCTAAACACACCAAGAAGGTCATGATCGCCAGGAAAGAAGAGACCGCTATGGTGCCTCCCTCCAGAAGATGGTGAAGAAGATTGAATCAGCTGGCACTGTGCTGTTAGCATCTGACACTGTGGTTCCTGCCTGAAAACAGTGCTGGTGAGGCCTGGACCTACACCCCTTCTGCTGTCACAATTATGTCTGCCGTCAGAAGATTCAAGAAACTGCAAGACCAGTGGAAAGCGCTACCACCTGCAACAAGGGGGTTATTTAATTAATTAATTGCTGGGTTCTGGAGCATAAAGTTTGTAGATGAACATGTCATGTCACAGTGACACACAAAATAAACGTATGTGTGTCCCCGATATTTGTACACAAGTATGGCTTCAGTTTTACCAAATGCTCAGTTTCCAGTGGGCCGTCTTCCAAACACAGAAAGTTGATCTGGCGTCATCTTGTGTTACCTGTACTCATGGTTAAGAGGAGAGTGAAATGCAATTTTCAATATTGTTTTAATCTATTATTTCACATGATAAAAGGTGTGTGAACAAGAACTCTATGGGTGAGAGGAAGGAAAGATTGTAGGAGGCAGAGGGGGCGGAGGACCCCAGGAGAATGCAGCCCACTGAAGCAACAAAGCAGGGCTCACACAGCCTGGAAGAGACTGAAGGGGGAAACAGGGGTGCCGCCGGGGGCCTCTGTGCATATGTTATGGCTGTTAGCTTGGTGTTTTTGTGGGACTCCTAACTGTGGGAGCGAGTATGTCCTTGACTCTTCTGCCTGGTCTTGAGACTCCCTCCTGTTGGGTCGCCATGTCCAGCCTCAGAGAGGGGCATTTTTGCCTTGTTGTATTTAGTTTTGTCCTGTTTGGTTGTTGTCTCTTGGAGTGAGGCCTGTTCTAAGAAGATGGAGAGGGACCTGGGAGGGAAACTGTGGTTGGTATGCATTACATGAGAGAAGAATCTATTTTCAATTTTTAAAAAAGTGAATATAGTTGCTTAACTGCTATTAGCGATTATAGTGGTGGTGACTGATTGATTGCTTGTGCTAGAGAGGGGTTCTGTGGTTAAGAGTGCTTCTAGCCCTTCAGGAGGACCCCAGTGCAGTCTTCAGCACACATATAAGGCTGCTCACAGCCCTGTAACTCTAGTTCCAGGAGAGTCGTAGCCCCTCTTCTGGCCACCGCAAGCACCTGCACTCACATACACACACATACACACACACACACACGTAATAAATAAAATGCAGATGATTTTTATTTATGTGGTCTTTTGTGTGTGTGTGTGTGTGTGTGTATACAATTACCAGCCAGTGCCCCTGGAGGCCAAAACATGGGTGCTGAACTTGTGTCCTCTGGAAGAGTGGCAATCACTCTTAACCATTAAGCCATCTCTCCAACTCCCATTATTTTAAGATCCAACATAGCTTCTACAATATCTGCAGCCAGCACAAATCATGCCTGTACCAGAACACAAGACACAATATAGTTAGCTGCTGTGGACAATCTGAAGCAGCCCCATATCCTATACCAAAGATTAAAACAAAACCATATTCACATAACATAACTGGGTTTTCAAAGAAACTAAAATTCTCACTACAGGGGTGCTTTTAACAAATGCAATGTCACTCAAAAGTCTTTTATTTAGTGTCCTTAAAAGGCACAACTAAATCAAGAAACTTATATAAAGCAGTAAAACATATGCTAAACCCATTTTCTTTGTCTGCTGTCAACATATCTGTTATAATTGATGCCCTATTAATGGTAGACGATGCAAGTGCAGCCTGAACTCACATTTAATGAGGTGTCTCTACACAGCATATCAAGAAAATTTGTGCACAAAAGCGTTATAAATACATGTTATACAAATCATCAAAACCATGGGTCTCATAAGGGATGGAGTGCTAAATCGTAATGATGTAACCCTGGGAAATCTTTTAAAGCATTGACGCTCACTAGAGCAAGACTTTTCAGAAATAGTAAGACTGAAAAGAAGCTAAATGAGAGAAAGATTTTATTATTTGAGACATGTTATCGAGTTGTTTATGGTCTCAAAACAGAATTTATGGCAGAACTTGATAATGAAAGCCACCATACAGAATTAACACTCCTAGTGAATGTCACCCGTCATTTATCCTGTCTTTAAGGTGAAATTCAGCTTATTAATACAATGTTTCAAACCATAACAAGGTTTCAAATAGAAGTAAAATTATGGCAGTCTCAAGTTAAGGCAAACAATTTTGTGCACTTTGACACCCTGATGAAACACATTTTTGTGAACAGCAAAAATATGCAGCTTGTTTATTTTATGCATGAACGCGAGGGGCGGGGGAGGAGACTAAGCACCTGGGATCAATTCCCACAGCCACAAAGCAGCGAAGACGAACAGAACACGCGGGTGCAAGCGCTTGTACACCGTCACAACATTCAAACACACAAAACAAAATAAATCTAAAAAAAAAAAAAAAAAAGAATTTGAAACAGATGTCAAGATTTCCAGAAAAAAATAATATTTTGGTAAATCTCCAACTCTGTTTTCAGTCACTAGAGATCTGGTGCCTGTCAGTTACAGGCAGATTCGAGAGAGCTGCAGCGGGCCATCCAGCCTGAGGGGGAGAAATTGATCGTGTTTCTTTCTTAGACCCTTACAGGCCTTGTCTTCCCAGAAATGCGTTTCTCTCCCTTCACAGTCACAGCATTCTCTTGTCTCTGGTTATCACACCTACAATTGTGAGCGACTGTTTTCAAGAACGAAGCAACTAAGATTAGAATTGCAGATGCTCAGCACTTTGAGAACTGTAATCACCTCATTCAACCATATATCGCTGCAGTAGGATCTCAAATGTAGTACCAAATAGCCCTATCTGGCCACTCTGTGTTGCCATTTTTATAATAATAATAAATGACATTTTATTACTTATATGCCCAGTGTTCTTTATTAGTGATCACAAAGGGGACCTACCGAACAATTCTGAGACTCTCTGAAGACATGCATAATTAGAATCAACATTTGAGGACTTTTTTTTTTTTTTTTTTTTTTTTTTTTGCTTATCTGTGGTGACATGGTGACAGATATCATAAAAATTACACACAGAATTTTTCTTAGCTCACTAGGTTTCACTAGTGTTTGCCTATTTGTGTGGCCCATAACAATTCTTCTTTATCCCATGTGACCCAGAGAAGCCAAGAGGTTGGACATTCCTGCTCTAAGGTATGGGCCAGCTCTTAGTGAACTCTGCAAATGCAAAAGAGTTGTCAAGAGTCCCAAGCTAAAGTATTATGCCCAATTCACGAACCCCAAAAGACCAGGAATAGACCCCGCTGTAAATACTTGAGGTTATTTTAGTTGTATACGCTTTCAAACACAGGATGCAAACTTCCTATGGAAACAGTAAAGGAATCTGGGCCCGAGGTCTAGGGGTACAGAGTTTTTAAAGAAAACAAAAAAAACGTAAGCAGGGACTTACATGCTTTGGCATTACATGATTGGGTAAGGGAAACTGACTTTTGAAATAATTGGTTCATTTTAGGCACCAAGACTACAAACAGTTCTGGCCTGATCATATGGGCTGATTTCCTAGCAACTGTATAATTAGTGGGCAGGAAAGAATGCAGTAAGGCTAGTTCTTCCCCTCAGAGCATTAAGGTTAATTCTTCCCTGAAGGTGGATGCACATGTCTCCACCCAGCTAGCCTCTGTTCAGGCCTCTGCTCCAAACTCCAAAACAATACCCACCAACTTTTAAGTCCTTGGTCTCTCAAAGGTTCAATCATAGGCCATGTTAGAAAATAGTTCATCCCATATAAAAGAAAGAAAAACAAAACCAAAAATCCTTTGTTCTAGAGAAGCCCAAGAACTAGAGAAGAGGAGAGTCTAACTTAAATGCCTTAGAAGATAGCCACAAGGCCAGCCTTCTCACACGAGCCTCCTCTCCACTCAATCCCTGCTTTACTTATTTACCCTTGTTTTAATCACCATATTCTTTTATTATTTCTCTTATTTGGGGAATGTAAGCCTATAGTCTAGACGAAGACAAAAAGAAAATATTGACAGCAACAATGGGAACTTTAAATATGCCATCAATGTATCCATGTCCCAGAACCTCAGTCAGGGTACTGAGTCAGTCTAGTGGGGTCTGTGGTAAGACACTAATAAGATACAAGAAGCTGAATGGGACTGTGGTATATCAGTGAACATGAAATACACACACACACACACCTGTCCCCTGACAATGACAAAATGTCATATAAAATATGTTAGTCTGCAATTCCATATGCTGTTGCCCTTCATAACGAATGCCTGGAAATTCAAAGTTGAGCATGTAAAATTTCCAAATTAACCCAAGCCTGGAGAAAACAAGAATTAGCTTATTTACACATTGACTTTCTGTGCCCCTCCCCCTCTACACATTCAAATTCTTCTATAACTACATGTATTGATGTCAGTGGGATCTGGACCATTTTCTTCTTAAATGTTTTATTCACCAAGAAACCAGCAAACAGGACCGTGTTTAAATCAGTCTTAAATTCTAGCCCAGGGGAAACAAAGACTGCTTGTAATGTAATTGCTAATCTCACTGAGCAGATGGCCAGGGCATCCAGCCAGTTCCTCTTTTCTTTCTTGAGAGATGGAGTCTTAATTACACCTTCCCAACCACAGTGAAAAACCATCCCATTATTATGTAATACAATGACTTCAAGTGGTAATCATGTGTGAAAAATGTGAAAACACTGATACTCATAATTCTGATTTTACCTTTTCACAAACTTCTAAAATTAATACTCAGAAATATAACCAAATCCAGATCCCCATTTCCAGCCAGGAATCCTCTGTGATCAGTTCTTTGCCCTTTTTAAAGAAGAGATTAAAAATGGTTCTCTAGAACTGGAGCGATGGTTCAGAGGTTAAGCGATGGTTCAGAGGTTAAGAACACTGGCTGTTCTTTCAAAGGTCCTGAGTTCAATTCCCAGGAACCACATGGTGGCTCATAACCATCTGTAGTGAACTCTGGTGCCCTCTTCTGGTGTGCAGGTTCACATGTAAAATAATAAATAAATCTAAAAAATGTTACTCTCACATGTACATAACACATTCATTCACATTCACTCTCTCCCTCACTCTCTTGGATGATTATGGAGCCTAAACCCATGGCCTTGTGCATGCTAAGCAAATGCTCTACCATTGAGCTACATCTCCAGCCATGTTCCCAGTAAGCTATATTCTGTTTCGGTTTCTAAGACTTGTTAGCATTTCTAAAAAGTAAAATACATAATAAAAATCAATGTAAACATTTAATGTCATGTTTGTTCCAAATATGTTGGGAGATTTTTGTCCCAAAACCCAGGAAATTGATTCCCCATATTGTTATGCCCAGATCTTAAGGCCCCCAAAGACCACCAGGAGTGGGACCTCGAATGCAAGAGCAAAGAGCTTTATTTAGGCTTAAGCTTGGTCTCTCTAGTGTTACCAGCGCAGTGGCTCAGAGAGGAGAGCCTGGAGCAGCTGCATGGCAGGGCTTTTATTTGGGGTTTGAGCAAGAGCTGGAATTCCCAGCTTAGCAGTTACACAATTGGATGATATTTAGCCAGGGCAAGCTTCTTACAAGGTGATTGGCTAACTAACCTAACTAACATTGAGTGAGCTATCTATAGACCTCAGGAATGTTAGGTTGGTGGGCTGCCCAGCATGGATGCCCCACCCTGAAATAAGATAACTTCCCTTTCGTGTGGTTACCTCCAGGCTATTCCTTGAGTAGGGGATTTTATGGTTTACTTATTCCTGGAATTGGTGACCTCTGGCCTAGTTCCTGAGACTGATGACTTTTGGGAGAGAGGGTCAGGCCTGGTCCTTTCATTATAATCATAGAAATCTCTGTGTTTATAGAATAAGATATTTAGTAATATCATTGAGTAGTTCCAGAGTCCTTGGAGTCTGGGGAGCTTACTGTCTTTGAGGAGTTCCAATGGACAAGGTCCATTCACTCTTTCTAAAAGACAGGTGAAAGAATGAATGTTGATGTAGAAAAGGATAATATTTTTTCCAGGTACTGGGAAGAGTTTCCATTTAAATAGAAGCAAGAGCAAAAAACATTCATAATTAAGCCTCCTCAGTCAAAGACAACAATTGATCACTGGTAAGCACTCTTCCCCCACCCAACCCCACCCCATGAAATGAGCCAATTCAAGCCAGAGTAGACTTCATAAGTTCAGGTTTATTGGGGGCAGCTCTGGGTGGGTTCACTTGTCCCAGGAAAGTTGCTGTGCAGGGGAAGACAGAAAAGGGAGGGGGAAGGAGAGAGAGAGAGAAAGTGGCAAGAGAGAAGGAAGGGAAAGCAGAGACAGACAGAGAAAGAGAGAGAGAATGCAGAAAGAGAGAGAGGGGAAGCAAAAGGAAGCCAACATGTTTGGATTATATAGGGAAGCCCAATCCCTGTGCTAAAAAGTTCAGTGGGGGTGGGGTGGGGGTGGTTGCTAGCTGTGCCCTATAATGGTAGGGACTAAGGGATGCTACTGAAATAAAGGCAGCCCTGGGGGACACTGGATATTCATCCAATACAGACACAATGCTCAACACAGCACAAACCACAGGAAAGACAAAAGCCCATGATTTCAGCTGACATCATGCCCTACTCATGAAACTAGCAGGAGCATCCTTTTGAAGACTCAGAAGTTAAGAAGTACTCCAACTTTTTTTTTTTTTCATTCCATCCAAACCCTATTTCAGCTTTCTTTTTGCTACAATTTTAGGAGTTTTTTCTTTTTTTTTTTTTTTTTACTTTATATTTAGTTTTTGTTTAATAGTTATTGTACACGTTCTTATCCTTTTTTCCCTCTTATTTTTTAAAACTATTATATTGGGGTTTTTTTGTTACTGTTGTTGTTATTTTGTTTTTTGGTTAGGTTTTTGGTTGTTGTGTGTGTGTGTGTGTGTGCGCGTGCGTCTGTTTGTGTGTGTGTTCATCTGTGTGTGTCCATGTGTATATGTCAGAAGTCAGAGGCATGAGGAGCTTGCGAGCTGTCCGATTTTTTTTAATCAACCTTAGGTATACCTTGATAAAGAACGGGCACTCACTCAGAACGCCACATAAAAACAGACGCCGCATTTTTTGCACGGCCCCTCCAGCCGTTTGGGCCGTCAGATAAGAGCTGCACCCAGGCCAGCACTTGCAGCCCAGCTACCACCAGCAGCCCCACCCTCTGCAGTCAGCTCACCTGCCGTTGTTTTCAGGCAGTCCAGGCCTGAGGGGCCAGATGCCAACCACTGCAGCTACTGTGCCTGTGGGCTCTGCTGCCAGACACACGTGGAGTCCCCTTACCACTGGGGCCTTCAATGTGGGTAGTGATGATGAGCACACGAGGTCTGACATCATCTACTGGGAGACTCTCGGGGGGAGGGGGAGGCGAGGGGCATTGGAACAGCAATCTAGCTGTCCTTGCTTTTCTGAGATGGGTTTTTGGATTGCACCTCAGGACCAGGGTGACATTAAGCCAGGAAGGGATTCAGTGAAGTGCTGAAGCGATGCCAGCACTTGCAAATAGATGGATCTTGCAAATAGATCCATCCAAGCCAGAAGTTCAAACAGAAGAAAAAAAAAAAAAAAAACTGTTCTGATGACCCCTTTGGCATCAACATATAGTTGGTAGTGAAGGTGTAAAACCTAGGTTAAGCCCCTCGATGACGGCAGTGACAGCAGTTGACTGCTCCAGACAGGCTGTGAGAGAGTGTGTTCTGACTACCAGGAGACACTGAGACAGAGTCGGGGGCTGGTAAGTGTTTGCCTGGACTCCTTAAAACACCTGTGCGACATTTTTCCTTTATAAGTTAATTAGAATGAAGTGAGGTTTTTTTTGTTTTGTTTTGTTTTGTTCTGTAAAAAGATCATACAAACCATGAGGAAGGGACTACAAAAGAACTGGAAATTTCTTATCTTAAGGCCATGATGCACACAGCAGGCAAACATCTTAGTCTCAGCTTCCACGAGCCCCAAGGCCACACCGTGCTGTAACAGAGGCAGCAGTATTTGCAGGCCCACCCACCAACCCAAGAGAAAGAGTGGAGCTGGGGAGATTCCTGAAGAGGATCACTGTCAATTCTAGAGTGCTTGGCCTCTAGGAAGCTGAGCTCAGAGGGTGGGAGAGACTGCCCTGCACTGAGCTCTTTCACAAAGTAGCTTCCTTCTATGAGCCACAGTCTTACTGCCAAGCGGGTAAAACCAAGAGTTACAGATCTTTCCAGTTAATAACAAAAATGAACCAAATATCCAGGAATAGCCTTAAATTGGGGCTTTCACCACTTAATTAATTTACCCGGTGAGTTTAACTGTCACACTCACTGGGATGTGTTTGGAAATGTGCCAATCAAAAGGAAACCAGAAGTCTCACTCTGAGACTTTCCCATAGGATAACTGAATGTCTAGTTTTATTAAATATCTATTTGTTAGCTATTTAGTGACTGTTAATCTTCTCTGAGGAGATTTGGTTCTTCTTTTCATCGGGGGGGATGCCTAGCTCATAATATAATACGCCTCTAAGATAACAGTCCCAGAGCCCAAGCCGCTCTGCACCTGCGCTTCACCTTTTGTCAGAGCAGGGAGGACATTCGAATGGGATGAAGGCGTGGATGAGAACTGGATGACTGTTTCCATGTGACTGGGAAAGACTATTAGATACAGTCCCTGCACCTGGCTGACACCGAGTGGGTTCACTAGCAGGGAGCCGGCATGGCTGATCAGTCCAAGTTTATTGAGTACATTGATGACGCTTTAGAAAAATCAAAAGAAACAGCGCTTTCCCAGTTACTCTTCACCTATGAGGGGGTTCCTTACCCAGTTACCATGTGCACTTCAGAAACTTTCCGAGCTCTGGATGCCTTTGAAGCCAGAAGTGATGACATCCTGCTAGCGTCCTACCCGAAGTGCGGTAAGAGGACCTTTCCGTGTGAGTGGATTTTGTAAGTAGGAAGGGGAAGGTGCAAGGCGAAGGTGGGAAGAAGGAGGCTCATCTCTACATGCAACTCACTGAAGATCAGCAAGGAGGGGCCAAGACTGCAAAGCATTTAAGTTACAAAGTTGACAACTGAAACAGCTTAAAAAAAAACATTCTGGAAGAAGAGGTTGGGGTACAGAGGTTATGGGGATGATGAATGGTTGAAGGAATGGCAGGGCTGGAACAACAAATGTGAATATTCTTGACAGACAGAAAAATCATGTCATTTCTGTCGCTTACATAATGATTTCCAGGTGGTGGATTTTTTTTTTTTTTCTGGGATCTAACATCAAGTCAGTTTTATAAATCCAACACCAGTAGAGAATAAAGATTAAGAATCGAATTTACTCTCTTTCACATCATCTACTGTTTTGTTTTGTTTTTTTCCCTTGGGTGTTTGTTTGTTTTGTTTTTGTTTGTTTTGAGACAAGGTTTCTCTGTGCAGCCTTGGCTGTCCTGGACTTGCTTTATAGACCAGGCTGGGCACGAACTCACAGAGATCCACCAGCCTCTGCCTCCCAGAGTACTGGGATCACAGGCTTGTGCCACGGTGCCCAGCTCTTTGTTTTAATTGAGGTTCAGGGTGGCTGAGAACTTATCTTCTGCTTTGGCTCTAGCTCATTCCTTATGAGCTACTCCACCCTCTGGTAGCATCCACTTTTGATTCTTTCTGCTGTCACTTATTAGAGCCTATTTTATTGATCACTTTTCTTTCTCTTATTCAATACTGGGCTTCTAGAACATCAAGATTATATATACTCCTGTAGTTTAATTCAGGGTGAAATTTGACGTTTCTCTAGCATAATTTTCTTCTTCAAGAAACATATTCTATGTTCAAAATGAATCATGTCAAGGAGACATCTGAGGCTGACATGGTAGCAAACATCTGTACTATCAATATTCAGGAGACTGAGGCAGGAGATTCATGAGTTAGAAGCCATCGTGGTACACTGCAAGACCCTGCCTCAAAAAGAAAGGAAGAGTGGGAGGGAGGGGAAGAGAAGAGGATAATTTGAATTTTAAAATACATTAAATTTCATGTTAATATAAAAAAATGCTCTTTTCTCCAGAATTATTTCTTTCCACAGCCCACTCTAAGGAAGTGAGTGTACACCATGGAGGAGTTGAAAATTTAAGTTTTCCTCATCTAAATGCTAAGGTAATATGTCTTTGTTATTAAGACCCCTTAATGAGTTTCTGTTTTCTGTTTTTGTTTTTGTTTTTTTCTTACAGGTTCAAACTGGATTCTCCACATTGTCAGTGAATTAATATTTGCCATTTCTAAGAAGAAATGCATGTGTCCAGAATTTCCAGTTCTTGAATGTGGTGATGCAGAAAAATATCAGGTTAGTACAGTCTTTCAACTTACAGCAAATGATAACAGGGATATTTCTTCCATTACAGAGCTTTCACTTTGAAGTTCAGAAAGTATTAATGTAGCACAGGCAACGATCACTGATGACTAGTTACTGCTTGCTTACCACACATCCTCAGTCCTTTTCTGGTATTATTTTCTTACAAAATAACCTTAGCACCATTTCACAAAAGAAGAAACTGCCGGCCTGGCCGAAGATCAAGGAGCTAATAAATGGCAGAGCCAAATTTCAAATCCCGGCTTTCTGACTCAAGCTCCAAAAGAATTTAATATACAGCTATCCTTACTAGTAATGACATTGGTTTTTTTTGTTTGTTTGCTTCTTTGTTTTTAACATGAGGGTCAAGTAATCTGAAATAAACTAAAGATAAAAGATACAGGCATGTGTAGGATGCTAGGTAGACTCCCCATTTCACTAATAAGGCATTTTAAATGTCCTCACCTTAATTATGGCTGCTGTGTATTTGAGCAATGATGAATGGCCAAGCAGTAATGTCAGACAGACAAGTGTCAGATGGGTATTCAAAGTGCCAGCAGAGCTCTCTGCCTGTTATCATCACTCATTTTCCCACCAGAACTGGCATGGATGCCAGTGTTCAGGAGCTCTGCTTACTGCCCAGGAGTATCTTTGGTACCTTGTGCTTGACACAGCAAGAAGATGGACCATCCTCACCTGACTTCTAGATACGAAGGAAGGGTCTGGACCCAGGGGAGCCACCAAGTAAAAAGTCAATAAACCTTCCGAAAGTATTCACCACTAAGCCTCCCTAGAGCTGACAGAAGAACCCCTGGGGACGGAGACTTTCGGGAACCACTTCTGGGAAGTGACCACACTCCGCACAATTGGCAAATACAAACTTCGAAGTTCCAAAGGTAGAAAGGAGCCCATTTCCATGGGTTGGGGAAAGTAGCAGGAAAATGCAGTTTGAATGACAGCTGTTGGAGGACTTGAGGCCGAGTGGGAGGCCCAAGGCATCTTGGGAATCAAGAATGAGCTCAGCACCCACATTGAGGCCCAGGTTCCCACACTTGGGAGGGTGGTTCATGCTCTGATGGAGGCTCAGACAGAACAGGCTCAGGCTTCAAGGACAGAAGAATGGAGCTTAAAGAAGCTTTTGCTAAGGGAAGAAACAGGACACCCAGAGAAAAGCCAACCAGCTGCATGTAACCTTGCTCCTAATGAGGGCATTTCACCTTTAGAGGTGATGTTGCTAGCATGTGCCCAGCCTTTTAAGCTATATTTTGAAAACCTTTTATATCATGGGCCATAATCTTTTTTTACTTTGTTTGCCAACGTTATTACCTACCTTCATCACAAATGGTCTTGTTTTATATTTGAAATAGGATTTGGACTGTTGCCTTGTACATTTCACATTACACATGGGATTGCTTCTCCAGGAAAGTATATTTTCATTTTAAACAAATTACCTCAAATAAAAGTATAGAGCAGAAACCCATTTATAGTCGGGGTGAGAACTGTGATACTGGGCAAAGCTTTTATTCTTTGTCAAGATATTTTTTTTAAAGTAGGGTCTCTCTCATGTAGCCTGAGCTGACCTCAAAATTTGAAAGTAGCCAAGACTGAGCTTAAGCTACTGCTCTCCCCCTCTCCCCTGCCTCTACCTCCCAAGCGCTGGGCTTACAGGCATGTTCCACTATGCCCAGTTGCCTGCCGGACAAGATTTTTGACATGTAAGGACTTGACTCCGAACTTGGTATCTTTGGGACTTCTCTTCCTCTTCTGGAAGATGGGGTGTGAGATTTAACATTATATTTTAATTTTATATATTTTAATTTTAATGACTGTGTCTAAGAGATCCGTGAGACAAAATGCTTCTACCCTGTAAGCCACTTGCCCGAGGACAGACACTTCCTGACATACTGGAGGCTATCTACTCTTTATGTAAGATAATAAGCCACATACTTTCACTTCCCTGGACAGGTTTGTTTGCCCCAACTGCACAGGGGGTGTTTGGCCACATGTAGGCAAGAGGCACATAGATAGGAAATACGTCAGAATGTATGCCCATGATTGCCCCAGATAGGCTTGCCTTTTCAAGCCTCTGCAAAATGTGACTTGCTACCATTTTCTGGAAACCCTGGAATGGACCTGGCCAGAGCCCACTGAATTTGGCTCAACGTTGTGGTAATGGTCTTATTCTCACCCCGTGGGATTAACACATCATCTGGGGCTTTTTGCTTCTTCAGCTACACTAGTATGAATGTAAAGCCAAGTGTTTCTCTGGCTCTTCCTAGGCACTTCCCTTTTTTATCTTAGTGCCAATTGTGAATGGGAAGTTGCACTTTCTGTTAAAGAAGATTCTAGCTGTAGTGAAACGATCCAAATGACTTGCGGCCAAGGCATTCCTGGAGAATCTAACCACTTTAAAATATTCACTGCAGTGAAGCTGGAGAAATGGTTCAGAACATGGTTAACTCTACACAGCCTTTGGCTTTTCATATACAAAGTGTATCAGAAGTGTTTGCTTTTTTTTTTTTTTATAATTCAGAGATTTTAGAGGCAAATTTATGATTCAATTATAATTTAGTCATGTCTCCTTTCTAAAGTACAGTGTGCCTCCTATTTTTAAACAGAAAATCAGGGAGAAGGTAAGTTTAAATTAATAGTGATTCAACTTACAGAAAACTTCCTGTAAGACACAGACAGGCCTGTTTGAAAAAGTGCTACGCACAGTCAGTTTTAATATTGCTTACACTTTGGCTACATTACTCATTTGTTTATCTAGTTCTGAGACAATTACTTTCATTTTCCTCTTGGCTGTACCTCTAATCCTTCTAGTAATGTCGCTCTGCTTGAGTCACTGTGTGACTTGGGCCAGGTAGTGTAGGAGGAACAGTATGCTATCACTTAATCTGAAAATGACCACTTACTTGCTGTCTTACAAAGCATCTGAAACCTCAGAGCCTAGCTGTAATCTCTAAACTGGAGGTTCTAATGCTTGCCTGAAAAGACTGTTGTGAATGAATGTAGCTAAATTATTGCAAACACCAGGAAAGACAGTAAACAGTGTAACTCAGCCATTATCACCAAACTCACCACTTGGACACATTGTTTTTGGGATTTTTGTTTATTTTTTTTTTATCTCTTAAAGTCTTAATTTTTGTTCTCTTGTATGAGTCGAAGTCTCCATAAGTTTTTACAGAATAGACTACAGATTGCTAAATATTATTTTATCACTAGAGTTGTAACACCTCTTACGGAGCTTTGGGTGATATTTCCATGTGTGGAGCTGACCAGACTGAAATCTTGCCCTCTTAATATGGCTCATAAAGGGCTGGCTTTAAGCTAAAAACCCTTTGCCACTTAAGAGCATTTCTTCATTTGTTCTTCAGACAGGACCTTCTGTGACCTGGAATTCACTATTTGCTCAGGATGCTTTGCATTGGTGTCCCTCCTGCCTCACCCTTCCTAGAGCTGACTAGAAGCACACCCACCCACCACACCCACATGTGCCCATAAAACTTTGTTCTTTTCAGTTATCAGTGGAAACAGATAACAGAAAAATACTCAATTATTCTATATCCCTCAAATGAACAAACATTTCACAAGTCATTTCTCAGATATTTAGGTAATTCGGGCCTTCAGATTCTGATGGGCTATTTGACTGTACAGTACACTTTTAATCCTGGCACTTGGGAGGCAGAGGCAGGTAGATCTCTGAGTTTGAGACCAACCTGGTCTACAGAGTGAGTTCCAAGACAGTCAGAGCTACACAGGGAAACTCTGTCTCAAAAAGCCATAAAAAGAAAAAATATATATCCACATATTTTATATATATACATATACATATATATTATCTAGAGGCTGGGAAGCTGTGTCAGTGGCTAAGAGCACTTGCTGTACAAACCTAAGGACCTGAGTTCAGGTCTCAGTGCCCACGTAAGAGGCTGGGTGTTCCTATAATGCCATTTCTGTAGGTGATGGAGACAGGAGAGTTATTGGGGCTTTCTGGCTGTCAACCCAGAGACTGTCTCAGAGAAATACTGTGTGACCAGTGATACAGCCGGCCACCCAGTGTCTTCCTCTGGCCTCTGAGAGAGCACGCACAAACACACACCCATATAAACATCCATATCCCACATTCACATGTAGACATGTGCTTGCACGCACACGCACGCACGCACGCACTCACGCATGCAGGAAAGCTTAAACATCGACCTGGCTGTTAGAAGTGAATTTTTAGGAACTGTGGGAGACTTGACCATTTCTATTAAAGGCCTAGAGAGGGACTGAACACATCCACTCCCACACAGCCACACACGCTCTCAGACTGACTTTCTCGAACACTGTCTCACATACAACCTCTTACATACACACGTACACCCTCAAACACACTCCTTCATACACACACACTTACAAACCCGCCCACACTCTCATATATACTCTCTGATACATACATTTTCTCACACATACTCTTATACACATGCTCTTAATTCGGTTACGAACACACACTCACGTGCACACTCTTACACACACACACACATTCACCTTATTGTCCATGTTTTGCAGAGAATGAAACTGTTTCCATCACCAAGGATTTTGACAACTCACCTCCATTATGACAAACTACCTCAGTCTGTCTTCAAGAACAAAGCCAAGGTGAGTGAATTTGAAACATACATAAAATTACTTTTATTTTGCATCTGTATGAGTATTTTGCCTGTGTGTGTGTGTCATGTGTGTGCTGAATCTGAAACTCTTAGGTATACATACAGGCTATCCTTTTACTTCTCTGGGATTTCGTTTGCGTGTTTTGTTTTGACCTTGCTTTTGGGCAGTATCAGAGATCAAACCAGAGCCTCATGCTAAGCAAGGACTCTACCACTGAGCTACACATTCAGACCCGTAGTGACTGGCTTTTGATGTGATGAGTTTGCTAGCAATCATGGAATTTGAACATGTGAAATGCAGAACGCAGTATTTCTTTTTGTCGTTTCTTTCTTCAGATGCTTTGCTATGACTGCATTCAAGTCAAACACATTTCAGCCTGTAGAGAAAACATACATAGGATGAAGCGTACACTTTTATTATCATTGTTTCTACAACTGATTATTTCAGAATCTCACTGCTTCAAACAAATAGAGTTTCATACAATAAACAATTTTTTTTTTTTCTGGTGACATCTGCCACTGTTGTTTCTGACTTTCACATATAATGGCGATCTTTATGTCACCAGACAAAATATCGTTGCCTTGACTATGTTTACCATTTGCTTAAACATCTAGCAGCAGGAGTGGCAAGGCGTGCCACAGCCCCAGCTCTCTGGAGGCGGCAGGCTGTAAGTCATACTTTGCTCTTGTCCATCCATTTTCCCCACTCCTCCCACCTACTCTCCTAGCCCCAGTCTTGTGGGTCCTCTTCTGCCTGCCTATCATACATATTCCTTCTTTCCTCTTTCTTCCCTCCTTTGAGATCTCTTGTTCTTTTTCATGGCTGCCCCTCTATGTACATGATCTAAACACACACACACACATACACACACACACACACACACTCTCTCTCTCTCTCTCTCTCTCTCTCCCTCTCACTCTCTCTCCTCTCTGTCAGTTGTAGACTCTGAATATCTGTGAGAAAGCATGTGCTAGTTATGAGTCTAACTATTTTGCTTAACGTAATGTTTTCCAGTTGCACCTATTTTTCTGCAAATGTCAGTGATTTCGGTTTTCTTTACAAACTGAATGAAATTTCGTTGTGTACCTGAACCACATTTCCTATATCCATCCATCTGTTGATGGTCAGCCAGGCTGGCTTCATTTCTTTGCTACTGCAGATAGGTCGATAATGCTCACCCATCTCTGTGGTGTTTGTCAGCAGTGAGCGGAGATGCTGCTCCATCCTGACACCCTCAGCAGCCCGAGGCTTTCCCCTTAACTTGTAGGGGCCCCCTAACTGGGATTTGTGACTTCGATACAGTAAAGCAAAGTTGGAGATGTTACTGGAGATATTTTAGTATGGCCTTTAACCCTAGCATACAGGAGACAGGGGTGCCGTGGACACAGCAAGTTCCAGGCCAAGAAACAAGTGAATCTCTGTCTTAAACAACCACAACAAGATATTTTAGTACAGAGAAAAACCCTTAAGAAGAGAAGAAAAAGCACATTCAAGAGTATGAGTGTAGGATTCTCAAAGAGCCAGAGAGAAAAATGGTCCCAAGCCGCGTACTGCCTCAAGGGCGGGTCCCGTGTCTTAGAATTAGACGTATTTACCATTTTAGTGGATACCGGGCTGCATCTTAAAAGATGCTAAGTTCTTTTTCTCTCCCCTTCTGACTGGAAAGATCACAAGGTGGCTCTGACGATGCCTCGCATAGAACTAGACTCCGCTGAGGCAAAACCAGGAGCTCTGCCTTCCCCGCCGCTCTGTTGTTAGTTAAGACCCCTCTCCCTACCCAGTTCAAAAACCTCCAGGTGTGTTTCCATGCCTCAGTCAGCGCTCTTTGCGTCTGAGGACCCACGTTGCTACTGCTTTCAGCTTGTAGCCAGAAAACCGATCCTCCAAAAGCTCAGGAAACCGTCCAAAACCAGTTGTGCGACAGCGTCCGGAGTGACTTGACCAGAGGACCGGTGTTGCCCCCTGCTGGTTTCAGCTTCCGCTTTCCTCAAACTTATTTAGTAAGAAGCTCCCCAGGGGAGAAGTCTGACTCTTCAGAAAATCACCTGACTTCTCCCCGTTGTGCCTCGTCTGGCTTCTGCCGCGCGTAGGCTCAGGATGTTCAGCCTCACTCAGCTGCGCCTTGGGTTTGAAACAGGAAGCATCTGAACTCCTGCATGCACACCCACTCTCCCACAATCCCTTGGTCCTCTTGGGATTCGGTTTGCTCTTGGCAAAGCCCATTTGACGCTTTTCATCCAAAGGCCACACCGCCTGTACACCTGCTGTAAGATTGACTAGTTAGCATCTTTTTTCTTTATTTGGGGTTTTACCTTTCAAATCACCCTCCAAGATTCTGCTCTGTGAAATTGCTCTGTCCTAGCTTTTAGCCTCTTCTACATCTGCCTTTTGATGGTCTAACTCGTTATTAGCAAAGCCCCCCACCCCCCGCAGTGCCACTCTTCCGCGCTCTTCCCGGTCCCCCAGCTGAGACTTATCAGGGTCCCTCTTGCTCTCTGTATCGACGCAATTATGACATTTCCCACCCCTTTTCTTTTCCAAAGTGCAAAATAGAAAGCCACATAAATTAACTCCGTTTTTGCTCTCTAGATATTGGTGATATTTCGAAACCCCAAGGATACAGCAGTGTCTTTTTTCCATTTCCATAACGATGTCCCCGATATCCCGAGCTATGCCTCTTGGGATGAATTCTTCCGACAGTTTATAAAGGGACAAGGTATGACTGCTAATAAAAGAATTTCTCCCTCAGCAGGCGAACACATGCATTTGAAAATATAAAGACATAAGATTTAGAAAGATCCTGGAGCCAAAAGGTTGCGTTTTAAATGAGGTTCAATGCATCAAGCTACGACAGAGCATCTTTGGTTCCGAAGAGGCTCCAGAGCAGTGGTTCTCAGCCTTCCTGACGCTGCCATCCCTCATATTGTGGTGACCCCAACCATAACACCGTTTTCGTTGCTACTTCACAACGGCAGTTTTGCTGCCGTTGTGAATTACAGTGTAAATATCTGACATTTCCAAGGGTCTTAGGCGACCCCTGTGAAAGGGTCGTCTGAATGGGTCACAGCCCACCGGTTGAGAACCGCTTCTCCTGAGAGCCCTAGTTTGTTGACCATGAATACTGAGTGCTCGCAGGACAGATTCAGAACAAAGATGTTTTAAAGATAATTTCATATATGTCTATAATGAAATTTAGCCTTCTCTCTCCCCAGAACCTTGTCTTGTCCCCACCCTCCTTTTCCCGTTGAAACCTTCCTTCTTCCAGACAGTTCCCCTTCCTATTTTCTGTCCTTTTGTGCACATGTGACTGGCTGAGGTTAAATAGGGTTTTTCTGTTGCTGTGATAAAACACCACGACCAGGACGGCTTTTGGAAGAAAAGGTTTATTTCAGCTTACAGTTCCAGAAGGATAAGAGTTCATGATGGCAAACAGAGGCATGCTGGCTGGGGCTGGAAGTCTCAAATGTCAAACACAAGTGGAGAGAGGGAGCTGTAAGTGGCATTGTGGCTTTGACATTTCAATGCCCACCCACCAGTGACACACTGCCTCAGCGAGGCCACACCTCCTAAATCTACCCAAACAGCACCACTGACTTGGGACCAAATATCCACATATCTGAGCCTATGGAGGACGTTTTATTCAAACCAACACACTTACTTATGTGAGGTGGATGTGAAGTTGCGAGCTGGAGCACGGTGGTTATACCACAGAGGAAAGTGACACTCACCACGAAAAAAAAAAAAAAAGATGGACACCATGTTTTGCCACACACACACGCATAGTCGAGAATATCCATCCAGCATGTCACACGGCTGCTCTTCTGTGTGGAGAGAAAGAGTCACATATATTTGTGGTTCCCTTAGCAAACAATATTTCATTATGCAATACAGCATTTATAAGGACAGTCCTTATGCTGCATATTGGATCACTAGACTTATTCACAACTCAGTACTCCAAAATCATGTGGAACATAGACCCACGAGTTACCCTTTTCCTCCCTAGCCCTGAAAGAGAACATCCTGCTTCCTGTATTCTGCAACCTTCAAAATGGTAGATGTGATCAAACAGGGTTTTGTTTTCTGCCTTATTTTGATGCCTCCCGGGTCCATTTATGCCATAGAAGTCAGCATCTCTATTTTAATATTCCACGTTGTATCTATATATCACAATTTGTAAAGGCCACTTTAAAAGGTGTTTGATAGAGCAAATGCCATAGCATTCCATGTACGTGGGCACTGCATTCACTACTGGCTGCCAGGAAAAGCGAGGAACACTCCTTAGGAGATGCTTACGAAGCATCACTAAACATGCTTCTGCTGTCTAGAAACTTCATGGAGACTGTGTGGAGTCAGGGCAAATCCACAACCCCGCTCCGTACATATGTCACACAAGGGAACGTTCAGCGATGATGTTTGTTACTTGTGGGACACTATAAAGAATCTTCCCCACCGCCTGCATCCGTTCTTTCTGCCTCAGTAGCTGATTGGCAATAAGATGTGGCAGTAATAACTTGGACAGGGTTCCTTCCCTGCAAAATTCTTAAATTCAGCTTCTAGAGGCAGAAGACATGCTGTGGATGTAACGGGTTCGGCTGTCTGGAGCTACTGCCGCTGTGACTCCCCCACAACGGTGGGTCACAATCTTGAATTGTAAACTGAAAGAAACTTTTTTTTTTTTAACTCTTAAGTTGCTTTGGTCAGAGCATTTTATCACAGCAACAGAAAAAAAAAATCTCCTCAGGCACAGGCACTGTTGCTGAATTATCTTGTTCCCCCATTCCGATGACTGTCTTACAGCTATGACCAGGTAGATCATTTTCACCACTTGCTCGGTTGTGTCGTTGGTGGAAAATGTCTGGGAGAGTAAGATGTGGATGGAAATGGACCGTGAGACAGTGTGTTCTGCTTCTTACTGACAGAGCTGTGGTGAGCATCATCTCTCTGGAGCGTAGACCATATGCATCGGATCTGTTTTCCTCAGTTATGCACAGTCACTTATATTTTTTCTTCTGTGTTTTTTTTAGTCTCTTGGGGAAGCTATTTTGATTTTGCAATGAATTGGAACAAATATATTGATGATGAAAATGTTAAGTTCGTATTATATGAAGACCTAAAAGAGGTGAGATCATGGTCATTGATAGATAGTCCAGGGCAGTATTTATTAGAGACTACAACACAGAGCACATGCTTAGAATGTCTGATTGTGCAAACAAATAGTGTACTCATTTAAACAAAATATTCTACATACATAGTGCAAAACTAGAAGAAACCCACTATGCATAAAGGCTTGGTTTGTTTGCTTAGCAAATAAAATAATGCTTGCAGCTGAATAATAACTTTCTTTTCCCTTTGCAATGGACCGTCCACATTGGCGGTGGGAGAAACAATAGGCAGACCTCAGTTTAATCAAACATGCATATGGCTGTGAATTGATTTTCCAAGTTGGTGCTTTTTTCTTTAAAAGATTGTTTATTCATTTAACAAACACAGAGTGAGAGCTGGCTCTGCACAGCTTCAGGCCCAAGTTATACATCAATGAAGAACTCAAACAAGGGTCGCTGCCCTGGAGAAGCTTCTATCCTAGAATAAAGGTGGGAAGGCCAAATGATAAATAATAAACACAAAGGAGATTGAAATGTATGTAGCATGTGAGAAAAATAAAACAACACAGCTACTGAAGGAAAACCGGATGAGTAGAAGGTAGAAGATCGGAACACTGGATCAGTCCAAGTGCATAATAACGTGGTTGAGGAATTGCCATGAGCAAGTTATGATTGGTGGCTGGAGAGATGGCTCAGAGGGTAAAAGCACTGGCTACTCTTCCAGAGGACCTGAGTTCAATTCCCAGCAACCACGTGGTGGCTCACAACAATCTATGAGACCTGGTGCCCTCTTCTGTTGTGCAGGTGTACACGCAGACAGAACATTGTATACATACTAAAGAAATAAATCTAAGAAGAAGAAGAAGAAGAAGAAGAAGAAGAAGAAGAAGAAGAAGAAGAAGAAGAAGAAGAAGAAGAAGAAGAAATGAATGACCAAAGAGCTGAGGGAAGGCAGAGGCTGTGAGCCAAATAAGTAGCTGTGGGGGAACATCCCAAGTTCAGAAGACCAGCCGCCCCGAGGTGTTAGTGTACTGGTGTGGTTAGCATGCGCAAGGAAGCAGGCCTGCCCGGCCAGCAGGACAGAAGCAGAGTTAGCGAGAGGGTTGTGTGAGGAATAGTGAGGAATAGCAGGGCAGGCCCCTAAAGAGACCATGGCTCTCACCCAGGGGGAACCACAGAAAGGCCTTTGAGCAGAGGCATGGGAATGATGGTTCTGGCTGGTGTGTGAGAAGGGATTGGAGCAAGAAGAGTGCAGGGAGACCTACTTCCTCATCCATGCCAGAGAAGAAGGTTACTCAGCCCAGAAAAGGGTAAAAGGATCAGGAGTTCAAAGCCAGCCTGTGTTAACAGAACTCGCTTTCTCAAAAGTTAACAAATGAAAACTTAAGAAAATCTTTGCCTCAGCAAATCCCACTGAAAGATGTTTATCTTTCAAATATTTATGCTTTCAGAATCTGGTTGTTGGAATAAAACAGATCTCTGAATTCCTTGGCTTCTCTTTAACTGATGAACAAATACAAGCTGTCTCAGTCCAGAGCACCTTCCAAGCAATGCGAGAAAATTCTCAGGAGACTCATGGTGCTATTGGCCCCTTCCTGTTCCGCAAAGGTAAAGCTGCTTTCTTTTCTGGGGTGTTGTGTCAGCTTGGGAGTGACTTTGCACTTAACAAGCGAGCCAAATCACTTCATCTGAAGCGAAACAAAGCTTTAGTGTTGTTTGTTTGTTTCTCCCTTGATAAGAACTCAGGACCTGAGGAGCCCAGAGCTGAACCTGGCAGCCATCCAGTGTCCTTTATGGCACTGAGTACACAGGGATGGTAAAATAGCAGCTGGAGCTCCAACAGTCAGGTTCCAGGAGGAAAAAAGAAACAGAAGAGGAAGGAATCCTGCACGTTAGCCAACCACCCCCTTCCACGGCCTTCCACCAGACCCCGCTCAGCGGCTGCCTGCATTCATTCACCCCCCTCCATATAGCAGTAGCTGGAAATGGAGCTTTCCTTTTCAAGCTAAGTGCTTGTAACTCACAATCAGAATTTTGTTAATATAAAAGAAGAAAACTGCCATTAGGTCCTTGACAGATGATTTACTTAATTTCATTAAAGTATTCTAAGTTCTTATGCAGTTTTATAATTCTATAGGTTAGGACTTCCGCTTTCATTTTATTGAATAATTAATGAAAATATAACAATATTTAGATTTTTAGATTGCATTTGTTGTGTGTGTGTATCATTTTCCATGAAATGCATGAGGAGGTTAGAGGGGACAATTTACGGAAGTCGGTTTCCTCCTTCCACCATATGGGAGCTAGGGCTAGAACTCAGGTTGTTAAGCCTTGGGTCAAACGCCTGTATCCACTCAGCCATCTCATCAGCCCTCTTAAGACTAACAGGCAGCACTCAGAACAGCAAGGATGACCACGGCTAACATGGGAACTGATTATGTACTGACTAGAATGCTGTGTTGGGACTAAATTTCATAACAATGTAGGAGAAAAGCTGAAATCCCAGGATCATGCTTTCCCATCGTCCTATTTTAGGATTTGCGAGGAATCTACTTCCTTCGCTTACGTTTTCAACTGACCCATTTGAGACAGGTGGTATGAGTGGAAGATTGAGTCAGAACCTGGCTGCAGCTGGATTCCCATATAACCTTGATCCTTATGCCTGATTTTATTAGCCTTAGGAAGAGGGAAACAGAACCTTTCGCTACATTGTTCATCAAGTGTTATTCAGAATAGAAAAACTTCTATAGTCAATGAAGTAAATCTGATGTTCCTTGTAGAAAGTCCAGAGAGCAGGAAAAGATGGGAGGGCATGAAATTAAAATACAAGTCATTTACAGACGTTATCAAAAGTTTAGATGTCTCCCACCAGAGCCAGCTTTTACTTTTTGGCACATTTCCTCCCAGCCTTTTTCTGTTGGGTATAGTTGATGACATCTTTGGACAGTTCTATGTCTTGTTTCATTTCCTTAACTTATCATAACTATTTTCTCATGTCCTTCAGCTCACTTCATCAGCACACATTTTAATCATGCAAAACAGAGTTTGCGATCTCAACTAAAAACACCCAAAGGTTTCCTAGAAAGAAATAACTTACTTTTTACACGCATGTATTTATCTTCTGTGTGTATGCACACCTGTCTCTCTGTGTGTGGGGGGGATGGGCTCACATGTGCATGCTATGGTGTGCATGTGAAGGTTAGAGAGCCACTTTATTGCATGGGTTGCAGTGATCAAACTCAGATCTCCAGGCTTAATGTGGTGCATTTACCTGCTGAGCATCTCACCAACCAAAGAAATAATATTATATGTTAGAAAAAAATGTTTTTAAACCTTGAGACAGAGTTTCACCGTGTAGCTCAGCTATGTGGACCAGGATGACTTAAAAGCATGATCTCTCTGCCTAAGCCTCCTGAGTTCTGGGGTTATAGGTGCTGCAATGCCAACCGGCCAAAGTATTAAATTTCTAAAAAAGTTCAATGTCGGATATCTTAACCAAACCTGTGGTAAAATGTTAACTTTTAAAATGTGTTTGGGTGTTCGAACGGCTTCAGGGAGAGAAAAGTCATTCTGAAATTATAAGATTTTATATCCCAGATGTTGGGGAAAAAGTGGGTAGACCGCTGGGATGGAGTCTTCTTCCCCCAGGAATGTAGGGAAAGCATGCCATCTGCCACACCACTGACGGAGAAGTCCAGGAACAGTGTTGCTCTTACAGGGAAATTGTGTGTGTGTTTAAGACTATTAGCTAGTGTTTTCATTTCTCATCCTCTTCTCTCTTCTCCTTCTCTCTCTCTCTCTCTCTCTCTCTCTCTCTCTCTCTCTCTCTTTCTGAGACCAGGTCTTTCTGTGTGGCTTCGGCTAGCCCAGAACTCGCTCTGTAGACCAGGCTGGTCCTGAACTCACAGAGATCCTCCTGCCTTTGCCTCCCGAGTGATGGGATCAAAGGTGTGCATCACTACCACCCAGCTCATGGCAACTCTTAGAAAATAAAAGTTAATTGGAGCTTGCTTACAGTTTTAAAGGTTAAGTCTATTCTCAGCATAACAGGAAGCATGGCAACACACAGGCAGGCATGATATCTTAGAGTTCTACATCCAAATCCAAAGGCAGCAGGAAGAAAGAGCCACTGGGTCTGGCTTAGGCTTCTGAAACCTCAAAGTCCATCCCCAGTGACACCCTTCCTCCAACAAGGTCACACCCACTTTAACAAGGCCACACCTTCTAATCTCATCAAATAGTGCCACTCTCTAAGCGTTCAAATATATGAACCTATGGAGGCTATTCTTATTCAAAGCACCACAACTATGTTGTTGTTGTTAACCTTTCAAAGTAAAACACTGCATTAAAAACGGTAAAGTTGGGTAGAATAGAGATAAAATTGAGAAATATTGTAACATATATCTGAGTCTTTTGTGTTTTCTGTGTTGTAGGTGAAGTTGGTGATTGGAAAAATTTGTTCAATGAAACTCAGAACCAAGAAATGGATGAAAGATTCAAAGAGTGTTTAGCAGGCACTGCTCTCGGAGCCAAGCTGAAGTATGAATCATATTGCCTGGCTTGATTCTGGCCAAGTTGGCTGGCCTACATATTTTCTTTTCCCTAATAATAACTGGATTTATGTAATTAGATAATTATCCAATCAAGTAGTCACATAACAACAATAAAAGTAACATGTAATTCCGAATAGTGAAGATCTAGTAATGATGGTAACAGCTGAAATTTTTGAGCTCAAATTAAAGTTTGTCCTTTTTATGATTAATTGAGGCCCTTGTTGACAATGTGTTATTCTAGGCTTGAATACAGACAAGATAGGCTTCCAAATGCTGTACATTTTCTGAAGCTTTTCTCATTAGGAAACTCCTCATTTTGGATCCAAGTATTTGTAGTGGCTATTTCAGACTTACTGGTAGGTGAAATTCAAGTCTGACTCTGCATAGACATAGATTAACAAACTGCATTTTGATTCAAGATAAATGCATCTTTATCTACTTCTGGTTTGCCATGCACACCGGCCTCTGGAGGTGCTCCCTCAAGAGACTTTACAGTTCTACTTAATACAATCTTGAAGTTAAAGCTAACGTGTATGTTTTGTACCATACAGGTCTTATTGCCACAGATTATAAACAGTCACGTGGAACTAACAAGCGATCATAGAGAATATCCCAGAAAGACTATCCTATCTGGCACTTCCCAATCATCCTAGCACTTGGGAGGCCGAGGCACGAGGCTCACAAGTGTGAAGTCAGCCTCGTTCTATACAGTTCTGGGCCAGTTAGAGCTTCAGTCAGACCTTGATCAAACCATCAAGCAAAGCAACAGAAAAAAGACTGCTGGGCTACAGGGAGCCAGAGACTTCCTGGATTTCAGCCAAGTGCGGGGAGAGTTTATATGACCCCTAGAGTAGGACCTGGGCTAGAGCCCTTAAAATGGGCAGATCTCAGTGGTGGAGCCCAGCTGACCCTAATAAACTATCCTAGATCTCCCTTAACAAAGATCCAAAGCAAGTCTGAAAGGCAACCAACCTGGGTTCCTTAAGGTTTCTCAACATGTGGATCATGACCCTTTGGCAAACCTCTGTCTCCAAAAATATTTACATTACTGTTCACAACAATAGCAAAAATACAGTTACGAAGTAGCAATAAAAATAATTTTATGGTTGGGGGTCACCACAACCTGAGAAACTGTATTAAAGGGACAACAGAGTTAGGACATTGTGTAAGGGATCAAAATGAAGGAAAATAATGTACTCTTTGTCCATTGAATAAAACAGAAATAAATCAAAATTGCCAGTCAGGCATGAGACTTCTCCCCTCTAATCCCAGAAAAAACAAAGACAAAAACAAAACAAAAAAACCCTTAACATCTCCAAAATTAAATTCTCAAAATAAAGCCCTCAACATTATCTCTGCCATCCAATTAAGACTTTTCAAGTGGGCTGGAGAGATGGCTCAATGGTTAAGGGTACTGCCTGCTCTTCCAGAGGCCCTGAGTTTAGTTCTCAGCAATCACAACCATCTATACTGGGATCTGATGCCCTCTTCTGCCATGCAGGTGTACATGCAGATAGAGCACACATCTATATAAAATAAATAAATAAATCTTAAAAAATACGAAGAAAATGTGACATATAACCAAGACTGAGCAATTATTAGAAACAAACAAATAATTTAATGATTGTGATGGGGAAATTTGCAGACAAGAGCTTTAAAGAGACAGCATATACCCTAGAGACATGTTCAAAAGGCTGGGCATAGTGGCATACACCTGTAAGCATAGCACTTGGGAGGCTGAGGAAGAAGACTCATGAGTTAAAGGCCAATATAGACTAGATAACAAGATCCTGCTTCAAAAACCCAACATATACACTGGGGGTTTCAACTGTCTCCAAATGTTAATTAAACAACTAAATGCACGTGCTATATATAATTGAATGCATATATGCTCAAAGATTCAGTGTAAAATGAATATGATGAGAAGAAAAAAGGACGATTAAAAATGAATGAAATGAAAGTTTTAGAGGTGAACATCACAACATGTAACGTGAACAATAGACTGCATGACTGTGAAGGAGAAAACGCTATGGTAACTGAATTCAAGGAAGTAGAAAGAGTTGTGAAAAGCCCACAAAGAACATGAGCAGGGACTTATTGACTTACAGAACAATAAAGAAAACGCAAATGCAACTGGAATTAAAAAAGAAAGGAAGGAAGGAAAGAATGGGCAATGTAAAAAAAGATGAGACATTATGGCTGAAATGTTTCAATTCAAATTCACATATCCAAAGGTTTAATAAACTCATCATTAAAAAAAAAAAAGTACAGAAATGCAAACTGAGTGTCTGTTCGAAAACCTAACAAGAGTAAAAGTTTGGGGTGAAACAGCACTTCCTCCATAAGAAATGTTTCAGTTGTGGCTCACTGTGGCTCTGTGGCCAGGGGGCACGTCACCTGCCCAGTGACCAGATCAGCTTTGATAACTCCAGCTTGATAAACTCTCACTTGCTACCATAGCTCCTTAAATGAGCCCTCAATTACCAGCGAGGGTGACATCGAGGGCTTCTTGCTACCTGCTGTCAAGAGCTTCTGCAGAAATGCCTTTCCCGAGCACTCACGAGGGGTGAGTGAGCGCTCACCCTGCCCTTCCCTTCTAGGTGGTTTACCCTCAGCATTTCCAAAAATCTGCTCATCCCCGTCATTCCTTCCAGACCCCAGGGCATCTGGCCGCAGTGCTACCACTGACAGAGCTGGCTTTGGGTCCTTTGGAAGCTGTGGTTAGACAGTGAGTGAACCAGATAGGCACTCACCTACTCCCTAGTCCTGACTCCCTGAGTTTTGTTTTGAGGTTGGCCTGTAGCACAGGCTGGCCTCGGGTTTCATATGTAGTTAAGATGATGACCTTGAACTCTTGGTTTTCCTGTCTTTACCTGGCAGCTTCAGAGAGTACAGATCTGTCACTGCAGTGCTGGGGAGAGAGCCCTGGAGCTATACCCAGGCCTATGGCCTCCAATGTACTACATAGCTGTGGGTGGCCTTCCTGGTTCTCCTTCTGGCACCCCGCCCCCCCCTGCCCCCCCCCCCCCAAATGCTAGGGTTACAGACACGTACCAGCATGCACCGCTCTCCCTGGATGTCTTTTATTTCTTCATCTGTAGTTATCAGTACAGTTCAGCTGCTCACGTGGAACCCCTACCTCCAGGCCATCTTCACAATCACTTCCACTTGTGTGTCCTGGGTTTCTGTCAATAAATCTGAGTGGCATACATTTGTCTATCTACTATCTGGTTTCTGCTATCTACTACTATCATCTACTTTGCATCAGACCTTGTCCATATTCTTTTGGGGTATGTTAACCTCTAGTACTATCAGAACTACCTCTAACTAGAATTGTAGCAGTGAAGGGAGAGGTACAGAGGGGTCATTGGGGGAGCCTGCACCTCCCATTTCTTGCTGGTGACCACGTCCAGGTTCTTCATTCCAGGCGGTTGCCAGCCTCACCAGACAAAGACTGGGAGGCCTGTGGGGAGAGCAGGAGTTGAGAGGGCAAATGCACATGGGCTCATCCTAACCTACTGGCATTCCTGGGGTGGCTTTCTCTCACAGTCAAGCTCCTTGACACTCACAGAAGGGACATGGTGAGTTTATTTTGTAATTCTGCAGCTCAGAACATCAGGCTTGGAAACAGATTTCTATGTCAGCCAAGAGACTACACAAAACGAAAGATCTTTGGGATAGACATTAAAGGGTGTGTGGTAAAATCACTCCTGAGTTTGTCATGCGTTTCTTAACCTATCCTAGGCAGGTCAGAGGCTCCCTGCCATGTCCAATAGCCAGCTCACACGTACAGAGCCGACAAGGGAAGTAGCAAATACACACCTCTGACAGAGCCCTTCAGTCACTTGAAAATGCTAAAGATCAATGGCTATGCCCCGGTTTACCTTCTGAATTCTTACCAGAGTTTCACATTACAGACCTCACTCACACCCAGGCTCCACACTCCAAGAAAACTAGACTTAGAGCGTTGTCATCCTGCCTTAGCAGGCGAGGCAAGAAAGGCGTGAACAAGGGGCGATGCTTACCTGTCACCAGCCGAGACTTTCTTACCTGTCACCAGCCGAGACGCCGGGAGTACACTTCTTGGTTCCATCTAAGTGTAGCTCCCAAGTTCTCCTCCTCTGTTGAGTTGGGACGGGGACAGTGCTTAGCTCAGAGTCCTGGCACGAGGACGCACCACTGCGCAGTGTGCCACACGCTGAACGAGAAACGCTCAAGCCCTGTGCCAGCAAGCGTGCCGCTGGGAGCGGATACGGTCTCACAGGAAGGTAGGGTTTCTCATGAACCGGGCACCGCTGGTGTTGCCTTGTGGTAGAATATTCCTCGAGGCCCTTCTGGGAACAGGTGGTTCTTGATTGCTGGCCTGGCCTGGCGGATGGTATACAAGGGACCTGCTGAGGGCTGGGGAAACCGGAATAGATCGAAGAGAGACTCCTTCAACAACTCCTGCCCCGCCCCCGGCCAATTTTGTCAGGATGGTATGTCCTCCTTCACACTGCAGTGTGATAAGGCAAGGGGACTAATCTTTACAAACCCGGGCTTGAACTGTCTTGAGTCTGTCACCGACACAGCCTGGCAGGACTCTCCTGGGTCAGAGGGTCAGTATCCCCTACTATGCATTGGGATTCGGTAGCATCCAAGTGTCCGGCCGCATCCTAAGAGTTTGTCTTGAAAAGTAGAAGTGACCATTGATCCCGGAGCCTATTAAGCACCAGGAAGGAGACATGGGTCTCTCTTTCCTCTTCCAGCAGAGCTTTTCCGGAATAGGTGTCCAGAAATGTCCAGAAGCGCGGGGACGTGGGCGGCCGCTGTGGCTGCTGGGGAGTGCGGGAGGCTGGCCCGGGCGCCAAGCCAGCCCTGACTTCTCGCGGTTGCGAGCCGGTGCGGGAGGGGCAGTGCGGGAAGGCGGAGTCCGCCAGGAAAACGAAACAAGAGAGAAGGCGGCGCTGGGCCTGAACTTGCTCCGGCCAGAGCAGCGGCAGAGAGCGGGGCCGGAGAGATCTCAGAGCCAGCACCTGAAGCACAGTTCTAATCCTGAGCCAGGGCGTAGGCCTCTGTCCAGATTCAGGAACGCGGTAAGACCAGAGGGCTATTTTCCTGTTCCTGGGCAGCAGTTGCGGGACAAGAGGGCCAGAGGAAAATGACCTATGACCTGAAACTCTGGGGGTGGGGTGGGGGCGGGGGGGGGATCTGGAAGCACTCACGACCCGGAGACTGACTGAATTCTGGGCTAAGACAGTTGAGATGGTATTGCAGTTGGCCAGCCTCAGTGACAGCCGGGTCCTGCCCTCCACCCTGTTCTTCTGCATGCACCTGAGTTTCCTTCCCGTCTGAACCTGAGGCTTGCTCTCCTGCTCCGACCGCCCTCACACCAGCCCCTTTGGTCGGGCCCCTAGCTGCCCACCACTTTCAGACTTCCTTGGTGCTTCTGGGACACAGCCAAGTATCCTTCAGCTTCTGGCCCGTTGAGCTGCCTATTTCTACTTCCTGGAAAGGCCTTCCTCCAGGTAATTGCATGGGCAGATCTCTCTGTATATCCAGTCCTTCTACCAGAACCAACTCTATGAACAGTCTTCCCTGAGCAAGAAACTCCACTCTGTCCTCGCTGCCCCACCTCCACACCCGTATTTGTCTGTATTTTCCAAATAGCACTTACTACCATGATTTTTCTGTATCCCTGATACCCAGAGCAGTTTTTTCAAAAAATATTTATTATTTATGCAGCATCCTGCCTGCATGTACACCTACACACCAGAAGAGGGCCTCAGATCCCATTATAGATGGCTATGAGCCACCACGTGGTTGCTGGTAGTTGAACTCAGGATCTTTCGAAGAACACCCAGTTCTCTTAACCTCTGAGCCATCTATCTCTCCAGTCCCCAAGAGCAGTTTTTATTCGCTTGTATAACCCTAGCACCTAATACCTGACTGGTGCTCATTACAAGTTTGTCAAATAGATGCTAATTCATAAACACCCTTGGATTCCGGAGAAATGAGATTCCCTGTTGTACCTTAAGTGCTAAAAGTGCCTTGTCTCCTATAAACTAAAGACCCTTGCCAGGCTAGTGTCCAGGACCATAGAATCTCGTGCAAACTGTGCTCGTTCTTCAGCTTGCCCTGAGAACCTGGACAGTTGGCAGCTTGCTCCTGTTTGTTTATATATCATATGCTAGTTGGATGCATGTTGCATGGGAAGCAGCTGCTGGAAGGAGGCCTCAGCCTTCTGGGGGGAGGGGAGGCTCCAGTCTGCAGGAAGGAGTGAGATTAGTGTCTTCAGGACATGGATGAGACAGGCAGGTTGGGATGTGTGATGGACTGCTCTCTGCACGAGTGACTGAGAGCTAGGAACTGCTTCCTGGTGAGCTCCTGCCTGTGATGAGGGTTGTGAGGTGGAGTGATGCTAGCTGCATCAAAAAAGGGCAGGCCCATCCTGATAGGTGAATGACAATTGCCCAGTAGACAGAGGGTTTCAATTCATGGGTGTGTGGATTGCGAGGTACCACAGTTTTCATTCACTGAAGACTCATTCATCCATTTGTATCAAGTCTCTACTATAAGGCTGGTGCCTTCATTGTTTTCATGTAACAGTCAAAACTGTTACATTTATTTTTTAAAGAATTATTTACTTTTTATTTTTAATTATCTGTGTATCTGTGTGTGAGTATATGCATGTGAATTCAGGTTCCCTAGGAGACCAGAGAAGGTGTCAGATCTCCTGAAGCTAGAATTACAAGGATCTTGTGAGCTGCCTGCCATGGGTGCTGAGAACAAGACTTGTGGATTCTCTGGGATCCAAGAGCAGCTGTGCTCTTAACTGCTGGCTCATCTTTCTAGTTATACATTTACTTACTTAGTTGTTTTTTTTTTAATTATTTGTGTGTGTGTATGTATGTGTGTGTATGTGCATATGTGTGTGTGTGCATGTGTTTCAGTGAGCCTGTCAAGGTCACACAACAACCTGTGGAAGCTGGTTCTCCTTCCACCACGTAGGTCCCAGGGATTTGACCTCAGATGGTCAGTCTTGGCAGCAAGCTCCTTTACCTGCTGATCCATCTTGCCAGCTCTGGTGAAAACCATCGCTGTGTAGGTAGAATGTAGAGCCACAGCCTGGAGGTGATCACCGGGAGAGAAGGTAAGTAGAGAGTGTATCTAAGGACTGGGCCCCTGGACAATATTTAGATGAAAAGGACATGAAGAGGAACCAGGGAGGAAGGCAGAGGAGGCACGGCTAGTGAGAGTAGAGGAAAACCCAGAGAGCGGTGTCTCAGAGCCTAAGCTAAGAAGGGAGGTGAGGGAGGTGGGAACAAGTGGCCGGAATTGGACTGTTGGATTATGATGAGTAAGCCCCCCGGGGGTCTCACAAGAGCAGTCTTGGTGGCTTGTAGAGGCCCCAGGACCAGAATGACGCTGTAAAACAGTGGTTCCCAACCTTCCTAACCTGCGACCCTTTACCACCCTCGTGTTGTGGTCACCCAACCATAAAACTATTGCTACTTTATAAATGCAGTTTTGTTGTTGTGGATTGTACTGTAGATGTCTGTTAGAGGATCGCTGTGAAAGAGGCTCTGACCCACAGGTTGAGATGCACCGCTTTAAATGTTCACAGTGGAGAGACTCTTTCAGGGGAAATTACATTTTAGGTGGTGTTGGGATCAAACTCAGGGCTTTGTGAACACTAGATAAGCCCCTACCTTGTGAGCCTACTAAGCGTAATGTTATACATTTTCCAATTTTTTTTTTTTGAGACAGGGTTTCTATGTGTAGCTTTGGCTGCCTTGGACTCACTTTGTGGAACAGGCTGGCCTCGGTCTCAGAGATCCACCTGCCTCTGCCTTCTGAGTGCTGGGATTAAAGGTGTGCACCACTGCCTGGCACCAATTCATTTTAAACAGATTCATAGAAACATTAAAATTTCCAGATTTATTGGGCATTAGGTGGTATTTTGATATACATTGTATAATGTTTAAATCAGGTTAAGTGTATCTATAACTAGGGACATTTTCCTTTCTTTCTCCTGAGTACCATTTTACTTTTCTGTTGCTCACTGCTGTGTCTCCTTTGGAGGAATAGCACTGAAGTCCTTTGCCTATTTTCTAAATAGTGGTGTGTGTGTGTGTGTGTGTGTGTGTGTGTGTGTA